TGGGGTAGGTACATAAGCTCTAAATTGCCAATGACCAATGTTGTTTGAAAAAAATACAAAAAAAAATTATTAATTTAACCACCTCTACTAACACCCCTTAGGAAATTGAAAGTCATATATCCTGGGAAATTACTGGGATTTTTCTTTGCAGGAAAATGTCACGACCATCTGGCCGCCAACTGAAGCGCTCCACAGAGGATGGGTGATGCAACAGGAAACAATGACCCAAAGCATACATGTAAATTCAACAAAACAATGGCTGCAACAGCACAGAATACACCTTCTGGAGTGGCCCAGTCAGAGTCCTGACCCTCCAACCCGATTGAAATGCTGTGGCAATGACCTTAAGAGAGCGATTCACACCAGACATCCCAAGAATATTCCTACACTGAAACAGTTTTTGTGAAGAGGAGTGGTCCAAAATTACTCCAGATCGTTGTGCAGGTCTGATCTGCAACTACAGGCAACGTTTTGGTTGAGGTTATTGCTGCAAAGGAGGGTCAACCAGTTATTTAAGGCATCCCCAAAGGTTCACATACTTTTTTCCTCCCTGCACTGTGAATGTTTACATGTTATTGTGCAATTATAACCATGGCACCAACATCTAATGTTGTTTGTAGTAGTATTATGTTCAGCAGACTGGTGTTCTCTCTAGTTGTGACTTAGATGACGTTCAGAGCACATTTTTTATGCCCAATTCATGCAAAACTCCACACGTAATCCCAAGGGGTTCACATACTATTTCTTTTTCTTGCAACTGTATATATATATATTATATATAGCTCCTGTGACGTTCCGGCAGCTATGGCTCTTATCCCTTCTGATGTACTTGTGATACGAAACGCGCATCATCAAGGATGGAGCCCCTGCTAGCCGTGACGTCAAGCCGCCGGATCAAGGAGGTCCGGCGGCCACCCACCTATACCAGCTGGTCAGTGTGTTTTCATTAATCCTTTGTGCACAAGGATTAATTTTACTACGTTACTCATGTTAAGTGTTTTCTGTTCTAATCTTCAATAAATTCATTTAATATTTGACCTAAATACTACACTATGGGTACTCCTTTTTGCTCTGTATCGAGCACTTGAACTCCTCAGGACCACAAGGTGATTATCCCAGGGCCCAGAGTAACATTCAGTTGATCCCCGTCTGGAGCCAGGTCTACTGTAAGGGACCCCCAGATGCGGCACCCCCCCATCACGGAGTCATCCGTTCCGAGCTTCCTTCCATCCACTACTGGAGTGACCTTTGGTGTATATGACACAAATGCGCAATTAAATTGTGCTTCCGGTGAGTGCGCAATTTACTCATTTTTTCTGCACAACGCCGGACTATATTTGTCACGGGGATCTTATCAAGCCTTCTCAATCCATCTGTGGCTTTTTGATCACTAAACTTTCATTGGACTATCATTTTATTGTGCATTTATATTGTGCGTTTATATGGTGAAGTGAAGGCGTGTGTGGTATACGCCATTACTGCATCTTTGTTGGGAAGGTCATACACATCGCATGTGGCCTATACTATTTGATAAGATCTTAGGAACTTTGCACCACCTTACAAATACTGATGCAGTCATATGTATATATCATTTTTTAGCGCTGCACTATCTATGTTATGTTTTGTCATTTTTAAGGTTTTATGGTTTTCCTTTTTAGTCTATCAGCTGCTGTATTAGTTAGCGCTCACTGAACCCCCTACTATTATAAATTCTTATATTGATTCAACATGCCTCTCAGCAAATAGTTGGGTTGTCAACTTTCCAAAAAGGGGTTGTTTTGGGGGGTGGGGGCATTCTATGCCCAGCATTAGAAGTTTATGCCACACATCACTCACTCTTCTAACCACCCTAAGACCAAGCCTTTTTTCTGACACTCTTTTTGTTCACATGAAAAAAAATCTGTATTTTTTTGCTAGGAAATTAATTTAAACCCCCAAACATTATATATTTTTTTAAAGCAGACACCCTAGTGAATACAAGGGTGGGTACTACAATTTTTTTATGGCACATAATATTCGCGCAGAGAATTTTCAAAAGCTAATTTTTTTAAAAAATAATACACTTTTTTTACCTTTAATGCACAAAAAACACAATATATTGGCCAAGTATTTGGTAAAATATACAAGATAATGGTATGCCAAGTAAATAGATACCAAACATGACATGCTTTAAAACTGCGCATGCCCCGTGCAATGGCGACAAACTGCAAACATTTTTAATATCCATAGGCAATGATTTAAAAGCCTTTAAAAGCTACCTTTTTAGATTTACGGAGGAGGTCTAGTGTTAGAATTACTGCCCTTGATCTGACGTTCACAGCAATACCTCACATGCATGATGCAACCGCTGTTTACGTATCAGTGCAGGGTCAAGGCTTGTGCACACAGGTGTGCGCGCATGGGAGGGCCAATTTTGTTTGAGTTATTTTGATTTTTTTAAATTATTTTTACATTGTACCTTTCATTTTTTTTATCACTTTTAATGCTATAACTGGGAATGCAAATATCCCCTGTAACTTCAATGGGCATTGTAATATGTTCTTTTTGAGAAATCTGGGGTCTATCAGACTCTGGATATCTCCTCTGCACTTACATTATCTAATCAAACCAAAATTGGTGTGATCAGATGCTTTCCCAATTTACAAATGGCGCTGTTTATATCCTGCGAAACTGAAGTGATGAAATGCTTGTAGCTTCCGAATTCTTAGACTATAGAGATGATTAGTCTGGTCTCCAATCAGCTCTATGGTCAGCTGGCAGAAACACCGGTTGCATTCTCAGGTTCCCCCGATGGCACGAGACTGCCCGAGAAGGACGTGGAAGGCAGCGGGGGAGGGGGGACATCATCTCCCGCTGCTTGTAAAAGCAATCCTGCAGCTAATTAGCCACTAGGATTGCTTTTACATGAAAGCCGATCGCCGGCTGAAAAAAAAACCGATACCAGGATGATGCCTGCAGCTGTAGGCATCATCCTGGTATAACCATTCAAAGTCCAGTGATGTACCAGTACGTCTCTGGTCCTTGTTGGGTATATATACTATGTTCTTTTTTTTTTTGTATGCAGCCTGTGGACTGAATGAAAAAATGAGAAGGAATCTCTACCAGAAAAAGTGTGTGGTATGCCCACCATTAGAATATACCGCCCTGCATTCACCCACTTCTACTGGTGGGCACACATTAGGTCATACTTTGCCACAAGAGCCAGTTCCAAGATTGAACAAATGTCTAAATAGTGGCACGCTTGAATAAAAATTGTCCACGTATAAGTGGTACCCCATATGGAAAAAGGATGACACCAAGTCCCCAACTATCTTGCCACTGATCCCCATGTAGTCTGGGCATCCAGGGGGCTCCACGTGACTATCTTTTCCCTCGTAAATCCAAAACTTATAAGTATAGCCTGTTGCCTTCTCACAGGTCTTCTACATCTTGACCCCATATCTGGCACGCTTGCAGGAGAGAAATTGTTTGAATGCAAGGCAGCCAGAAAAATTAATGAGGGACTCATCAACGCAGATGTTTTGCTGGGGAGTATAGACATCTGCAAATTTTTGGTTAAGTTGATTTGCGAGGGGCTGAATTTTGTGGAGCTTGTCAAATTCAGGGTTACCCCGAGGATGACAGAGTGTATTGTCGTTGAAATGCATAAAACACATTATACTCTCATATCTATGCCTGGCCATGGCAGCAGAGAACACGGGCATATGATGAATCGGGTCTGCGGACCAATACAACCGCAATTCATTTATTTTAGTAATGCCCTTGTTGAGGGTTAGGCCCCAAAAAAAAATGTAAATTCGAAAACCGTAATGAGTTTCTATGCAAATGGTCTGGCAAGGTTTGAATTTGGGTTGGCGGCGATAAATTGTTGTGCATATAAATTGCTTTGATCCACAATCAACGCATAGAGATATTCCATGAAAAACAGCAACAAAAATCAAGGAGGTATGTGAAAGACCAAGATGTACTAGACCGCTGGTACTCGCCAGTTCACCAAAAGGTAGACCGGCACTAGTAATGGCACTCTGCTGCATGTGAGAGTCATCAAAATTTACCGGCAAGTGCTAACAGATCTCAGGCCTGATTCTGCGAACACTGCGGTTTTGTGTGCAATGCATCAAGTGACAGTGACCTACTGACACTGCACTTGCTGGGGGAGAGGGGGGGGGGTAAGCGTAGGGGCTAAACGCAGGTGCTGGGGCTGATCCCGCTAACACTGCGTTTTTGGGGACGCTATACTAATGTGAACGCTAGTATAGTGCTGATCTGATCAAAGATATTGACCCGTTCAGACACTATAATAGCAATGGAGGTTTATTGTGCATGAGCGTGCTCCTGGCAATCAAGGGGTTAAATGTGATGACTGGTGTACTGACAGGCAATCTGACGCTATCTGGGAGGGGCGTGAAAACCACGGGAGAGCGCGACCCACGTATATATATATATATATATATATATATATGATTTTGCGCACCCATGCCGCCCTGTAGCAGTATTTCTGCTATAGGGCAGTCAGGAAGCGCTTGCAGAAGCAGTTTGTGTTACGGCGCTGCGTTACTTTAACTGACAATTGCATGGTCATGCAACACTGCACCCAAATTAAATTTACATCCTTTTTTCCCACAAATTGAGCTTTCTTTCGGTGGTATTTGATCGCCTGTGCGGTTTTTATTTTTTGCGCTATAAAAAAAAAGGCTGACAATTTTGAGAAAAAAAAAAACAATATTTTGGACTTTTTTGCTATAAAACATGTCCACTAAAAAAATTTAAAAATCAAATTTACTCATAAATTTCTGCCAAAATGTATTCTGCGACATGCCCCCTACCTGTTTTGCAGAGCTCCATTTAAAAACAGCGCTCTGCGCAGGTGCCGCCCTGCCGCAGTAAAAACACTGTGGCTGGTCGGCAACCAGTTAAAGTTCTTACTGATATAATATAAAACAGATATACCCTAAACCAGGGCTTAAAATGTCAAGTCCTGAGCTACTAGCCAGGCCTTAACAGTTACTTGCTATCAACAAACACACACAAACAGAGACACCTGTACACACACAGACATGTACATACACACACAGAAACATGTACACACACACACGCACAGATATACACACGCACAGACACATGTACATACATACACAGACACATGTACATGCACACACAGACACATGTACACACACACACACACACACACACAGACACATGTACACATACATGTACATACACGCAGACACATGTACAGATACACACATGTACATACACACAGACACATGTACATGCATACACAGACACACACAAACACACACCCATGTACACACACACATGCACGCTGTTAAGTGCTCTCTCCTCTCCCCCTGAAGCCACCACTGGCTGACATAGAGGATCATGTGAAATTAGGTAGACACACCCACCCTATAAAAAGTTGCAGTACTTCGTTGTTCACTCACAGAGCCGGGTACTGCACTCTAGGGGGAGGCAGAGAGCACAGCACACACTCCTTTCTTTGCTTTCACTGCGCTCAGCTATTGACCGATCTGACAGTAGCCAGAGCCAATGACAGATCTGGCCTGAGCTCCAAGCCTGCTCAGCAAGACTGCCCTGGGGGACACACCCGCCCCCACCATAATTTCCACTCGCCATTGGCGAGCAGGTGAGTGGAAATTTCAAGGCCTGCCCTAAACCATGTATTTTTTTAACAGTAAACCCTAATAGATACCAATGTATATACTGTATGTGCTTTATAATATTTTTTTTCCAACATATAATTTAAAATAGAGACATGGAACAGGAGATGAAACTGTTAAATATTACTAAAATTAAGGGTTTAAGTAGTAAAATAAAGGTAAAATAAGTTCATGTCTTGGTTAATTAAGAGTTACCTAATTTCCTGTGCACAAAATAAACATTCTTCTGTGTTATCTACAGCTCTCACACTCACAGATTGCTGTTTGTCAGGGAACTGAGGTGATAATGTTTGTTACTTTTGTTGTTGTTTACAAATGTTACACTGAATGATCACTGTGATTGGCTGTCACAGCACGATCATTCATTGAAGAAGGCTTCTGACTGGCTCCCAATCATAGGATTGGGAGTCTATCTTTCTACAGATACCAGGTCTCACAGGACTGTGCACAGGAGGGAACAGGGGAGAGGAAAAACTGCAGGCAGTCTCCTGGACGTACAGGAGACGACATTGTGTACAGTGAAGGAGCGTTTATGGATGTGTGTAACACGCCAAAAGTAGGCATCTGGTTATCATTTGGGATTGTACAATGATAAGAACATGAACAACCTTGTAAAACAGTGCAACCAAAAAACTATAGATACAGAGCAGATGAAGAACATTATATCAAGTATACAAAGTTCAAAGTATGACCTGGACATCCATTATATACCCAAAGACATTTTGTAACAGTACAGCCAATTACAAGTGAACTCCTTAAGTGATTGAGGGTAAAAAACATGTCAAAAGTGGAGTTCCAGCTGTTTTTATGTTTATTAAAAGTCAGCAGCTACAAAAACTGTAGCTGCTGACGTTTAATAAACACACTTACCTGTCCCGGAGTCCAGCGATGCTCTCACCCACGTGGTCCCTTCTCCCATTCTTTCCTCCACGGAGCCGGCATCTCAACAACGGGCATCAGGCTGTGCCAGCTTGTAGCTTCACAGCCTGGTGCCCACTGTACGTGCGCGAGTCGCATTGAGCTTCCCAATTGGTTCGCCAGTCTCCTAGGACTGGTGAAAGTTCCCAGGAGACTGTAGAAGGGAGGAGGGGGCCGAACTTCCAGCTCACTTTGCCGTGTCGAACTGAGCCGGAAGTGGGAGCGGGTACCTGTCAAAACCAGGTACCCACTAACCCCTCCCCCCCAAAAGGTGCCAAATATGTCAGTGAATGGGGGAAGGGGGCAAAAAATAAGCAGAGCTTCCACTTTTGAGTGGAACTCCGCTTTAGAGTGTTACTAAACCCAGGACCCTACATTCATTATATCTGGTCTCCCACAGTACAAGGAACATGGAAATTCAATTATATTAGTAAATATAAACTGATAAAATATCTTTTCTCATCAGAAGCTAGAGCAGTCTTGTGACTTCTATCAGTGTCCAGCTGATCACTGGTTAAAGCTTGTAGGAGGAGTTTTCATTCACTTCCGACTGTCCTATGAGGCTGCATAACCCCTGACCTTCTGTTTGGACAGTGTTGATTGGCACTGTGCTGATCATATGCACTCTCCCAAAGAAAACAAAAGAAAAAACTCTCTAGCAACATATACTAAACTGAGCATGTGCAGAGTGATTGCTAGAGTTCTGTACTATCAGCAGATGGCTTGGGGACAGAGAAGACAGGATCAAACACCCTTTTTGCACAATGCAGAGGATTAACCTCTTAGGTTGCACAGTGAGTATAACAAGCATACTTTACTGCATATACAGACTGATTTTACTGTTGTGGGTTTAATAACACTTTAATGCCTGAACACAACTTTGCAACTTTGGCATGTGTTAGTATAAGCATACAAACAGTATCATCGCAACTACTTTGTGCATCCAGGTGGATTATACCTTGTTTTTTTTAGGACAAATTGGATTTTCTTTTGGTGGTAAATGGTAACTGATAAATCCTGATTTTTTTTTTTAGAACTATTTTTATTAGGAAATCTGGCAATATAGTGTATGTGGTATCGCTGCAATCACCAGGAGCAGGTACTGATAGTAATTAAAAAAAAGTTTTGTTTTTACTTTGATATCCTGCGCAAAATATACTGACCATGACCTTTGACCTCAACATTTGACCCTTACTTGACCCAAACATTAACCCTGGCTCTGATCTAGATCAAACATTGATCTAGTAATTTTTTCTTTTGTATTTACACACTTTTGTTCATTTACATCTTTCTCCCTGCAAGGAGAAAGAGATAATGTATATCTCCCTCCATTCAGAGAGAAAGGAAACACGGGGCAGGCTGCACAGTGACTGATCATTGTGAAAATATCTTGGCCTATGGAAGGTTCCAGAGACTGGGGGATTAGGCCCATGTAGTCAGTAAATTGAGCTACAGAGCCCTTGAAGGAGGCCACCATGAAGCCTGATACCCTTGCGCAAAATCAGACTTATGAAAGCTCCGTAGAATGCACAATCCGGACATGAGCACGGGGGCGGGGGGGGTGTCAATACCTGTTCTTAGTGAAGAACTGCTCAGGCTTGGGCTGTGGATTTAGGCTGAGGTAATCCACGGGTTGGATCCAAGGCAAACTTCTGGAGGTTGATGGTACACCCGAAGCTCTAAAGTGTCTGTATCATCTGCCACTCATTGGTTGCCAGGGTTTGCTCCTTTATTTACAGATTGTCCAGTTATCTGATAATGGGGATTCCCTTACAGTGCAGCAACACAAAGATTTGGCAAGCACCTTGGTGAAGACCAGGGGCCATAGAAATGCCAAATGAGGAGCCACAAACTGGAAATACTGCTCACCCATCACAACCCACTGACATGGAGAAAAATGGGAATATGCAAAAGATACAAATACACAACCTTAATATCTGATAATACTAGAGATTCCTCTTGTTGAATCAATGCAATTATAGACAGGGATGATTCTATCTGAAATATTTGAAACTGCAAAAAATTGTTGAGAACCTTCAGATCTAGGATGGTGTAAACAACCCCATTTGGCTTCAGGACCAAAAACAGATTTGAATAAAAACCTTGAAATTAGTCCCCATAGGGAACTGGGACAATCGCTCCCAAAGAGCTAAGCTGCTGCAAGGCAGTCTGAAGGGCTTGCAATCTCATCTGAGAGCATAAAGCAGGGAGAAGGCAAGGAAAGAAATTCCAGTCCTATTTTCTGTGACCTTGTCCTAGACCCAGGTGGCCGAAAGGGCAAATAGGCATTCCCCCGCTTGCAAGAGTAGTGGCACCCCTTTACTGTGAGGAGGACTTGGTCCCAGACATAGTCAGCATTTAATGTCCAGGACTTGTGATGAACCTGAGGGAAGGACTTGATATTAGAAGCAGAGGTCTGGAAGGGATGAAATAAACGCTTTCGAAAACTGGAAATCTCTGACTTTCCTGCAGGCATCTTAGCTTTCTTCTTACGTTGTAAAAAGAGAGCTAGTTCTAACTGTAACAGCCTTAGAAAATGGCATTAAATGACTCTCTGGAAAGTTGTTTTCCATCAAGCGTAATCCTTTCCCAAAGTTTCTTACAAATTGTCTCCCCAGACCAGTTCCACAAACAGGAAATCCTGCGCATCTGAACTGATATAAGAACCAGGTGACAATTTTGTCACAGGAAGTCCACAAAACCACCAACACAGTAGTGCTACTTAAAGGAGGTCCAAGTTTTGGAGAACCGAGGAATCTGTTAAGATTAATCCAGGGATGCATGCCATGATTTGCCTCTGACTTCCTATAAGGAGGACCTCAAACATCCTGTCCACTGGGTCTTTGAAGACTAAGACATCCCCAATTGGAACCATCGGGGATTTGTTAAACCAGATCTATCACAGGCACATTCCACTCTTATGGTGCATCTCCTCCACTAAATAATGCTGCGCAAACCTCTTGGTAGGGGTATACACTTCTGTGGCTGCAACCAGTCCTTGTAAAGAACATCTTGTTGGTGAACTGGAATGGACCTAGTTGGTTTCTTAATTTTTTAAAGCGATCCCACACTGGAGACCTAGATCTGGTAGATGGGAATGGCTCTAGTTTTAAACAGAGTGTAACCGAACTGGAACCCGACCACTCTTGGGTATATTCCGTTATACCGCAGCTTCCCCTGTCCGAACACCATCCACTGACCACACCCTTGAAATCCCTCAGGAAAATAGACAGCACCCAGCTCCTAAAACAGGAAGCCAACTCTTTATTTTAACACAAAACACAGGATATATACAGAGGGCGGGGAAAAACACAACCAGGAACAGGAAACACATCATCAACCCGCCCCATCAGTGGGAAGGGCTACAGTGAATACATCATCAGCCAGCCCCATCGGTGGGAAGAGCTACAGGGAACCACCCCAACCAACCCAAAACACAGAACAATGGGATGAAGCACATGGGAAACAAACAATGGACAGCCATGTGGCCGAGAACAAAGGACTAGCCACATGGCAGTAGACAATGGGCAACCACATGGCCGAGACGAAGGAACACACACTATACACAAGACTGGGACATTCACATTTACACACCCTGTACCCTAACAGGCACTGTCAGGGATCCCCTCGATCCCCGCCGCGTTGGTCCCGGCGCAGGCGCAGTATGCCGCCCGGTGCAGGGACTCGAGCACTGGGTCCGGGCCGGCCGCGGCGTTCGAGTTCGCGCATGCGCAGTAGAAGCCGCGGCCGCCCGCTGGGCACCAATGGCAGCGCAGGGCGGGATATTTAAACGACCCTGAGCTGTCATTCAGTGCCTTCTGGTCTTTCCTGCATCCTGTATCCTGTGAACCTGTACCCTGTAAGTTATTGACCCGGATTATACCTGACCTTGCTGTTTTCTCCTATTGACGGGCGCACCCAGTAGCCACGACCTGGTCTCAGGGAGCTCCAAGTCCATCCCCACTTGAACATCAGGGGGCCCTGGTGAACAAGCACCCTGGGACTTAGACTCCGTGCGTGGGGACGCCTATTCAGTGGAGTGCTAGTAGTACCGCCGGGCGGTCCC